CGTCCGGCAGCTGCTTTTGAAGCGTCAGAGCCAATTTCGGGAAATTCTCGGGTTTAGGGTTTAGGACTTGGTGGGCCGCGTTCAAACTCCGAGGGTCGAAAAGGGTGCCGGTGCCACGGCGGGCGGGAGGCGGCCTGAGGCTACCAAACAACAGCAATCACAGCCCTTTCTTCGGTTGAAACGATGGCGTCCAAGCGCACGTTGTTCTTCGAGGAGCTCCCGCCCCTGAAGCGCCCTCGGGTCGCGGGGGGGTTCGAGGTGCTGCCCGACGGGGTGCTGGGGACGATCGTCGGCTTTCTTTTGCCGATCGCCCACAAAGATGACCAGTATGCGCAGTACCATCGCATGGCCGCGCGCATGTACGACGCGCTCGCCTACAACCACGAGGCGATGCCTCTGGCGCGACGCGCTCGCGCTGCTGGGCTCCTGCCGGCTCCTCCGCTACGGCCCTCTCTGGGCGAGTGCCGCCGTCTTCCAGCGCATGCTGCACGGGACCTTCGTGCGGCTTTGCCGGCAGGCTGGCCCTGGACTGCCGCTGCCCGCAGTACGAGCTCCGGTCCCTGGAGATCACCGTGGAGCGGATGCCCCCGGCGCAGGGGCGGCGCCACGCTCTAGAGCAACTACGTGGCAGTGCTGCGGCTGCCTTCGTCTCGAAAATGACGCAGACTTGCAAGGTCGCCGCGCGAAACCGTGACGTACGTACTTTCGTTTCCATTATGGCGTCAAGCGTAGCGTGTTCAAGTCATCCTCAAACAATGCTGCACAACCGCGTGGTAAAACTGTGTATTCGTTTTGTTTTGCTTTCGAACCAGCTGAAACATGTCTTTCTCTCGATTCTTGCGCTGAAAAATTTCAAGCGCCAGGCAGGTGGATGCCCTCCGAAAGGGGTCTCAACCGCAAGAACTTCTCCTTGCAGACGATCAAGTGGGACTGGGCGCAAGATCGATTCCTGAAGCAGGTGTGGTAGCTGGTACTCCGCAGNNCAGAGCTTGCTCCACGAATCTACATGCACAACGCATGCGCAAGACCTTGCTTTGTCTGGCTCCAAACACTCCAGACCCAGCGTCAAGGTTCAGCCAGGAGCCTCTGGAGTCACCCGGAAGACCTCCCGGTCACCGCACGCACTGAGACTGCGCGTCCCAGCTTCTCAGCCTCAGGGTCTGAACCTGAGTCTTCCGCGCCCAGATCCTTCGTAGCGCAATGTAGCGCACAGAACGTTCCACTCCTTGTCGTGCGACTCCAGACTTTGCTCGAGCTCCTGTCGCTTCAGCTTG